GCAAAATGCCTACAAGAAGGTTTTTGCAAGCCCACCTACAAGATATTTCAACATAAAAGACTCAGACTTCAGGGGATGAGGGTTGAGGTTTTACTGGTTTGGGGTTTTTTGCCTTTTTAAACAATTCCTGAATTTCCAGGAGAGGGTAAGCCTGGATCTGGGAAAACCTGCAAGAGACTCCCAAGGTTCAGAGGAGCCTCTGATGCAAGATCTCCTGTGCTTGTGTGATCTCCTGCCCTACGTAGCAATGACTTGGTGGTTTGGGGGAGGCTTCTCCCAGCCCGCAGCACAGCAAACCCCCCCAGGGACCCTACAAACTATCAGCCTCTTGGCCCTTCCCTGCACTTGTGGGCCCATCCCACAGACACTCCTGCTCCCCAGGGAAGCATCCTTCACGTGTGGGAGGCTTTCTGGAGCAGGGGAAGGTGGTGGCTAGCTGGACATCCCAGTGCTGGCCCCCCTGTGCCTCTGAAGCAGCCATGGAGACCCCCACGCTCTCTGCAAGTGGTGAAGCAGCTCTCTGCAGCAGAGAGACAATAACAGGCGAGGAGATGGCCCATGGGAAGAAGGAGTTTTATTGTCCGGGAGGAGGTGCACACTCTGAACATAGAAGGCAAACCCTGCCCCACCATCCCCACAGCCAGGAGCAGCCCAACCACCCCACGCTGCAGGATCTGACCCATGAACCACCTGGAAAGGGGCCATCTGGCAGCTCCCAACCTCAGATCCTGCAGCCAACATTACCAGGGTTGCCCAGCAAACCCCAAGGACACAGGTCTGTGGCACTGGCCTGACCTCTGCTCTCCCCAGTTTGTCCATGGTGGGCTCACCCTCCGGGGAGTCCCAAATGTTGGGAAGAGAGGACACAGCCAGTACCCGCCGTCCTGTGCTGCAGGGCTTGGACTGACCTCCGTCACGACGCTGACGCTGCAGGGTGGGTGTGTGACAGGTCTGAGTGCAGGACGCAGGGTGCAATAGAAATTAAACACCACATTGCATCTGTCCCCCATTACAAAGAGCTTCCATAGGAAGAAGTAAAGTGCCCGCCACAGTCAGAGAATCCATCAGGGCATAAATGCCCTGGATGCAAAGCTAAGCCAGCCCCAGAAAGGCCAGTTTAGCCAGGATTATTGCAACTGAGAAATGGCTTTAACCCTCCCCCCACCCCCCTTGTGCCCAAACAGCACTGGGAGGAACAGACCTTGCGCCAGATCCTCCCAGTACCTGCATTGGAGTGATGCTGGATTTACTGTGCCAGTGCTACGGACGGGATGCTGTGGGCCAGGCTGGTCCCTGGCAGTCAGCGTGGCTCCTCTCCAGCATTTCTCCTTCTCCAGCAGCCCCCCTCCCCAGCCACGCTCCCAGCAGATTTTTTTGCAGTGAGTTCAGCCCCACGACTGAGGCTTCTGTGCTTTGAGACCACTTTTGTGTACTTAACATCGTATTTCAGTAAAACACTTCCCAAACCCATAGAAAATTGTATTTACACCCAAGAGAAACCTTCCCAGCCCACAGCCTGCCCCCCCCCTCCCCAGCACATCTGCACCTCTGCAGCCAGCTCAGCCTCTCAGACCAGCTCCACAAGTCTTTAGAGGCCACTGCTCCACGCCAGGCAAGCTCAAGGAGATGCATCTCAAAGGAGATACTCCTGTGGAGGAGAGAGGAGAGCTGTGGAGGAAAGGCCAACCTCCCAGTCACTGGGCTGACCAGCTGGGTAGTGCTGAAGATCCTCTTTGCCCAGAGCCCCTGTCCCCAGCCATAGGACTGTGTGATTGCAGCTGGAAACGTTGCTCAGGACCCCTCCTCTGCAGATGACATGGCAGCCCTGGGCATAGGCAGGTAGCGTGGTAGTGGGACAGTTCTTGGCTTTCTCTAGGGCAATATAAGAACAAAGTAGTTTGGCAGAAGTCTCTCTGTCCCTCCATCATGTGAGACGGGAGCAAACTCTCCCACTTCTCTCTGCTCTGGTACAGCTTTGGAGGAGGCCAGGATGGTTGTTCTGCTGGGGGAGAAACCTGAGCTTGTGGCCCTAGAAACATGCCTGGGCTGCCCTGGGATGCCTGTGCTGGATCCGGAGAGGAGCAGTGCTGGTGGGTTCAAGAGGTGGAGAGCCTCCTGCAGCACCCTGGGGCTTCTTGAGGCTCCAGATAGCAGACCCCGGCCACCTCTTCTCCATGCTGGGGAAGTCTCCTCTGCACGCAGAGCCAGCCGTTCCTGGCACTGACAGCTTGTACTTTGTCCCTTGCCCTCCTGGGCTTGGTAGAGGTGGACCATGAAGTCACCTGCAGGCTGGTGCAGTTCAGGAGGTCCAGGCTGGAGTACACTGGAACTGGGAGGTACTGGGACCAGGGTTGTCTCTGCTGTGTGGCAGCCTGTGGGGCCCTCCTCACTTCAGAGATCCAACAAATTCCCCAGTTGTCGGATCCAAAGGAGCTGTGTGCCATGGCAAGCCCAGTCCCACTGCTCCTGGTATTGCTGTTGCGTCTGATACCCCTCCATCTGCAGGTGCAGCTGAGGCCATCCCACCGTGTGAAGGGGTTACCACCCGTCCTGCATAGTTGTGTGGGGACCCCCAGTCCCACAGGGACACCGTAGGGGATGGAGAGAGGCATGACATGTCCCTAGCCCACTTGGAAGGCTGCTCCCCCCTTCAGATGGGGGAAGGAGGCAGCAGGACCATCAAGGTATCCAGAAAGCCACGTTTCCACTGACGCTGAAATCAAAGAGATGCTGGTGGGGCTCCAGGTCCTGGTCTGGTGCCCCTTTTCCTGCTCACCACCCTGCTGCCCCTTTTCCAGGGTAAGTGTTAAGGAATGCCCGACGCGGGTCTGCAAAGCCAGTGATCAGAGATGCCTCCTAGGGCCATTTTTGTTCAGCAGCTGGGACCTCATGGCCTGGATGCTGCTCAAGATCTTCTTCTGGTGGCCCATCATGGTGATGCCCAAACTCCGAATGTCCCTGGAGAACAAGGACACTGTCAGACACCCCATGGGCTGAACCTGTGCCGGGCCCCAGAGAGACACTGCTCCTCCCTGTGTGCACACCCCATGGACCAGCCCAGGACCCCGCGCCTGGCTCCTCTCCGCTTGCCCATCAGCACAAGGCTGCTGCTGCTGAGGGATGGAGAGGCTGCCGTTCCCTGGGGCACATCCTCCTGACAGGGCTGCTGTGACAGCCCCGGAGGGGAGCAGGAGCAGGAGGGGGATCACTCCTGAAAGGCTACTAGGTGACAAGATCGATGCTCTGAAATTGGATCCAGTGTTAGCAAGATGCCCTCAGATAACCCAGTCAGAAAGACGGATGGATGATGAGTGTTCCCCACTCAAAAGCTTCCCTGAGAAGCAAGGATCAGTATCAGCTCAATCCCACAGCAAAGGCCCCAAGTACAGCCCCCGATCAATACACGACAGCCCTCTGCCTGCGTCTCTCCATCTTCCCTTTCACTGGCTCCTTCTCTACCTGCTGCACCTCGACCGAGGCGTGCACTGACACATCCTTCCGGAGTCACGGGAACTACTGTCTGGCAGCTCCATGCCTTTTGACAGGGAACAAGTCTCCTCAGAGCAGGAGAGGTTGTTGCCAGCCCTGGCACTAGTGCTAACACCAAGGGATGGGGAATGTAAGCCCAGGGTAGGAGCAGGTATAACTGCCGTCTTTTCTGGTACCGCTCGGAGCATCAACCACCTCGGAGACCCCCTAGAAGGGTGGCAGAGCAAGCTCCTTACAGCAGGAGGAGGAGGATGGGTGGTGGGACACATCTTCCCCAGCTCTCCTTACTTAACCCAGCCTTGGTCACTTGGCTATGACCTTCCACTCACACCGAGGCCCTGGATGGTGCCTCCCTGCCTAGCTGCACTGAGCAGGGAGCCAGTCCAGCGCACTGGGGTCTGAAGAAGCTCTAAGGTGCCCCTCAGCTCCATTTGTTTCCCAATGATCCCAGAGAAGCTGCGGAGTATGGTGCAGCCACACTCTGGTCCAGACGTGCCTTTTGCAGGGGAAACAAAAGTGAGAAGTGCAAGGAGACAGCAACCTCGTATCTGACCCTGCTTTGGTAAGGAAATTGGATTATATGACCTCCTGAAGCACCTTACAAGCCAAATTACCTATGAACCTGTGATGACATTGGAGAGCCACCACAGAGCACCAGAGGTGACTTGGTACTCACACCCTCTCGGTACAACTCCCACACCTTCTCTCAAAGGTCAGCACAGCCTTGGACATTGTCCCAGGTCTCAACACCGGTTCCTTAGGGGTGTGTCTCTGGCATCAGGGACCAACCAGATCGAGCAAGCCAAGGCAGGACGGTAACTGTTTGGGGCTAGTGGAATGGTGCAGGGCAACCCAACTGCTGCTGTTTGTTCTCTGGTACTCACTCGATGTTCATGCGCATCACCATGCCCAGGGAGGAGTACCCTGCCATGGCAAAGTTGTCCCGGTAGTGCCCCAGCCGGATGGAGTCCAGCCAGTCCTCCACCGTCAGACAGCTGGCCAGGTCGAGGAGACCCCTGTCGAAGGGTGTTTGGGTGAACCTGGGAGCAGGATGGAAGGGGTTAGCCCAGGAGGTGTTGGTCCTAGGTGGTCAGACTGTGAGGTCCACCTCAAAGAGCCTGTGACCCTGCAGAGGAGGGCAGGACAGAGAGAGCCCTCGCAGGCTGGTAAAGGCAGGCACGCCGCTGCGTGGGCACTGCTGCACATGCTTGGCCAGACCCTGGCGTGGGGATGCCATGGTGGGAGCAAGGCAGTGAAATACAGGATGCTGCCCACCACAACCTGTGCCCGTGGGCCCCATGCACGTCCGTGGTTGCAGGGAAGCCACTGCTGCTAGAGCTGGACAGAAATATCCCTTATTTGCTGCGAGCCACATGTTCTGCCCAGCATCAGCTGTCAACCCCTGCTCATCGCGGAGGCTCAAGGAGCCCTTACCGGTTCACGGTGGCTGTGCACTTCAAGTTGTCAGGGTTGCGGATGAGCTTGTCCAGGATGCCGACAATCTGGGAGAAGCGCGGCCTCTCGCTGCGGTCCTTCTGCCAGCAATCCAGCATGAGCTGGTGCAGGGCTGTGGGGCAGCCCATGGGGGCAGGCAGGCGGTAGCCTTCCTCCACTGAGTTAATGACCTGGAAGGAAGCCACATGCCAACGTGGAGCTCCGCTCCTACCCGACTCCGAGCACCCCAGACGGCAGCGCACGAGAAAGATCCCTGGTGCATGAGCTGCTGGGGCCGTCGGATGGGGAAGCAGGGCGGGTGTACACAAGATTCGTGCTAAATGACAAGTGCATTGCCAGCGAGCTGTGCGCAGTCTCTGTGGAGAGCTGGAAGCGGGCTGGATACCATGCACATACAAGAAATCAGACTGTGACAGCGGATTTATTAAGTGGTCCAACAGGCCTAAAATATTGCAGCTTCTCTCCAGCAGGCAAGCCACGAGAGCTGCGCTCACGTTCAGTTGTTCTACAACCAGGGCTTGCCACCGCTCAGCAAGGCTGGAGGAAACCCTGCTCGAAGGAACTGTGCAGAGGAGGTGGTGTAAGCCACTGCATCCATGCCCTGTTGTCACCAAAGCCACTTTCTAACATAATAAAAACACTAGGGAGGGAAGGGACTCTCAGGACTCCCAGAGCAGGGAGAAGGCAGGTAGGTTTATAGTCCCCGCAGGTAAAAAAAAAGAGTCCTGCGGTTCTGCAGAGTCAAAATATTCTTTTTATTGCCTCCTTTTGGAAATTTTGCTCCCAGGTTGTCGTCAGGAATATAACCTACATTTTCCTACAGTTTTTACGCTACTCTTGAGGTAAGAGTGGCTCCACATAACTCTGACAAGCCCAAAGCCTACTGCCGGGCGGTACAAGCCTGGGGCTCTCATTAGCCTCACGTGGGCAGTGGAAGGGATGGACCCCCAGCACTGGGTGCAGGAGGGACTGGCAGACTAATGCTGTGATCCTAGGGAAGCCCTGACCCCTTCCAGGGAACGGGAAAGGTGGCACGGCACGTGCTGAAGCTCTCCAGCCAGCAGAAAGGCTTGTACAGAGCAGCAGGCGATGGATGGGGAGACCCACAGGGCACACAGCCAGGCGCGGCCAGGAGCCACGGTGCTGCAAAGGGAAAGGCTGCGTGGTGCAATGATGGGCAACACGCCGATGTCCCCGCTGAGGGGACAAGCACACTGTGCACAGTCCTGTGGGGATGTGAGGAGAGGTAAGGGCTGTTCTTTGGGTCCCTTTTCCCCAGCCCCCCTGCTAGGATGGCTTGGGTGAGGGCAGGAGGAGAGGCAGGCTTGCCACCGTGCTGCCCCGCGTCCACTCACGTCCCGGTTGGTCATGTTCCAGTACGGGCGCTCGCCGTAGGCCAGCACCTCCCACATGACGATGCCGTAGCTCCACACATCACTGGCCGAGGAGAACTTGCGGTATGCGATGGCCTCCGGAGCCGTCCAGCGAATAGGGATTTTCCCCCCCTGAAAAAGTGAGCGACAGCGGAGGCTCAGAGCATGCAGGGCTCAGGCACCCCTACCTCTCTGCAGCTGGGACAGCAGATTAGACAAGCGATATGCTGGGATGGCATCTTCTGGAAAGGGCTGAGGAGGCAATCTGCACAAGATAAGCCTGGAGTTGTACCTGAGGGATGACTTCAAGGTAGTTCCAGTAGGGCAAGGAGAAAGCTGTGCTGTTTTACAAGGTCTTCTTCATGCACAGTTCTGGCCCTCACTGTTCAAGAGAGAGGAATTCGAAGTGATGAAGTGGAGCCGAGGGCTACCAGAGCACGAAAGCATGGAGCTGACCCTGGGCGCAGGCAGAGAGCCTCCTTGAGCAGACAAGGAGAGCGATGGCATGTGCTCCCTGTCCATTACTGCTTTGGCAGGCAAGCACTGAAGAGGAGGACTTGTTGAATTAAAGGGCCATGCTGACAAAAATCAGCAATATATGGGCTAAGAATACATTTAAGCTGGAAACGTGGTTGTCAGCCATCTGAAGAGGGAAGTTGTGGTGTGGGGAACATCAGGTGGGTTTCCCAGAGCAGCTGGGGCAGGCGTGGTGTGCCTGGGAACACCTTTCAGGTATCCCCATCTAGGGAGAGTTGCCTCCACCCAACCGAGTCCTGCCTGCTCTGGCGCACTCCTTGATGGGGACTGAAGATGAATGATGTGTCCTTTGGGAGAGTCCCTTTGGGGACCTGAGCAGATCATGTACAACAGAGGAGGAACACAGGATACCATCTTATCACAAATTTCTGAACAAGAAAGAATTCCATTTTCAGGATACCCGGACTGAGACTTCGCCAGAGATCTCATGCTCCTGCTCCTGTCACAGCATCCTTGGGGTTCAGCTCTATCCAGACTACGCACCTAGTCTTCCTCCAGAGAAACCAGCTCTGGTGGGTTTCACTATGCCAAGATGCCTCAAAGCCTCTGCTTGTGACATTCCTGGTGGCTGCCCCATTCTCTAGCGACCTCCCTGCTTGCATTCATACTGGGGACATGAGACAGTGTCTCTAGAAACTGGGCAGGATTGGAAAAGATCAGCAGGTAGGTCAATAGATGAGCTCTGGTCACTCAGGGCACCTTCCTGACCCAGTGTGGTCACTGACATACTGTCTCTGGAAACTTGTTCACAAAGATTAAAAGCACTGGGGGAAAGCTCAGAGACTGGCTTGGTGGGAGGAAGGCCAGGTGATGTGTGTGTCTGTAGGCTACAGACAAGGAGATGGGCTGCTCTGATGTCAGGAAGCCCTAGCTGATCTTGGGCCCCTTCTTACCCTTCCTCTGAGAGTCCCAAAGCCAAGATGCAGAAGATGCTGTACTTGAAACAAGCAGCAGGAACCTTCTCCCAAATTAAAGGATCTGGAATATCAAATTATTTCTTGAGATACCAAAGGCAGCAGCTGAACACAAAGACACATGCAGGACACATTCTGGCTCACTTCTCCACTTGGCTGAAGCCAAGCCAAGAGCATAAAGGCCATGTTCTCCAGGCTGGGCCACTGTGCACTCATCCCTCAGAGCTGCAACCGCTTTGGGCCATGCTTTGCATTGCCGTCAGCTACCCCAAAGTAACCTGAAGCTCTTTCTGCTTCTCTAGTCTTGGTCCTTCTGAAAAATGACGCTCAGACTCCTCAGCTGCAGCTCCAAACTGGCCTCCATCAGGAACCGTCTATCCACCACATTTTCCCAGCCAAAGACGTGCCTGGGGAACACCGTAATTCCTTTCATGGCCAGAGAAGTGCAATAAGAGCATTCCCTGGTGTATTTCATTTCGCTGCTGCTGACTTCCAGTGGAGGAGCACATCAAGCTCCAGAGCTGTCAGGTTGGCCAGAAAAATCTTAAAATGGCTTCACAGACAACAGTGTCCTACATTAAACCAAAATCATCTAGGTTGCAAAGCCAATTCCCACCCTTTCCACGCTCCCGAATGAGGCAGAGTCACATGGAAAAACTAGAGTGTGGCCACACTACTGAAGAGTCTACCATAACACCCACCTACTGACTGATGGCTCTAGGACAACTGAAGGAGTGGATGGAGCTACGAAGTCTAGAGGATGACTCCAACAGGGACATGGGACTGTCCCTGTGCAGTGGGCCACGCATGCCCACAGGAGGTGTTGACTGGGGAGGTTTGATCAGCTCCCTGCTCTCCCACCTTGCTTCTCTTTGTTCACTGCACACTTCAGTTCTGGGATGTCCCTGTATGAAGGACAATGCATTAAGGCTCAGAAGCTTTCTGGGTTCATGCTCTTGGTCCAGATACCAGCAGTGAGGTCATTATCTCCATTCCTGCCCTGCCTATCTTGACTTTTCCATCTGTCTGTGGCCTGGGGCAATCACCATCAGTAAGGGTCAACAAGGCTGCAATGCAAGGAGCCACGCACCGTGGTGGTGTACGCAGCATCAGGGTCATCCTCCAGGATGCGTGAGAGACCAAAATCAGACACTTTGCAGACCAGGTTGCTGTTCACCAGGATGTTGCGGGCAGCCAGGTCCCGGTGCACGTAGCCCAGGTCAGACAAGTACCTCATGCCCGCTCCGATGCCGCGCAACATGCCCACCAGCTGGATGATGGTGAACTGCCCGTCATGTTTCTGGAAAGGAAATAGCCCAGAGTTCATTCGTGGTTTTCACCAGCATCCTATTGATGCTGCTTTCGTTAAACTAACCCCCTAGTACCTCTCATCTTTGGCTTAGTACCTCCTCTAACCCCGGTGCCTCTCCCTTGTTCCCCAGCCCACCTCCTGCCCTCCCAGCGTTCCTGACACGCCGCTCAGGCAGGTGCCCCTGCCTTTGCAGTGCCGCTCCGGGGAGCCGGCCACGATGCCCTGAAGCCCGTATCTGCTGGAGAAGTGAGAGCCCACAGCACACATTCTCGCGCAGGGGTTGCAGTGGCCGTGAGGCTGAGGAGCAGGAACCAGCCTCTCCTCCAGCCGCTCAGCCCAGGGGGATGTGCAATGAATAAAAATACAGGAGAGCTCCTTACCCTGAGGAAGGTGTCTAGCGAGCCGTTCTCCATGTATTCAGTAACAATCATTACCAATTTGCCTGCAGAAGACAAGGGAGGACAAGTTAGCAGAGAAGTCACCTTCCTCCGGGAAGCCCAGTGCCAGGCTTTTACTGGGAGAGACATGAATCCAGACCCGTGGATCTCCTGCAGCCCCGCAGAGTGGTCTCACCCCTGCACCACGCAGGACGGGCACAACGATGGGGATGTGGCAATAACCCCGACACTTACCCCTCCCTCCAGGTGCTATTGATGTGGCTAGGTCAGCT